CTTACTTGTGATGAACTCTTTATTTATATACAATATCGGAAATGTGTGCTTATGTGTAAATGATTACAATGTTTGGACTCGAGTCCATGCTAGGAATATCTTTGACATAACATGGACTGCTAGCAGCGACTTCAGACTGGATGTCAAGATGTGTTGCGCCATCATCGACTAATTGAGGAATATGTAAATGTCAGAGCTGATAGGCATGCTCAGGCATATCAAAGCTGATTTTAGGCATATTATCTATTGAGTATGCACGTTCAAATCTTTATTGCGAAAGTATTAAGAAATATATGCATAACTGCGTTATTTATAATTTGGATCCGCGTAGCATGAAGTTCTATAAACATTTATAACGACGTATTTCCGTTGGTAAATATGACGTTATGTCACTATAACAAATCCATGGTTACGATAATAGGACGTCAGATTGATTAAGAATGACCAATTAATTACGTCAAACAGATGATACTTTGCTACCTAGGACATATGTTTCATCCAAACTCCGGAAATGGGTTTAAAAAAGAGGGAATAGGAAGGATGGAGTGTGGAAGGACATTAGAGCAGACGCTTTGTTTCGCACGCATCCGCATGAAAGGAGATGGAGCGAGTCAAACGTACCTAGATGATTCTGAAACGTAAGCCAACGTCTTGATAAGACGCTATGACTCAGTTTCAAGAATCGTGCGATCGTGGATCCTATTTTAGGTCAAGGAACTTAATCCTTTTAATCCGGGACAGGATCGTGTGCGAACCTATGCTAGCAAGATATTTGTATGAGGAAGTAATAAAAGATATTACGAGGAATTTATTTTAACAAAGCACATACACATACCACACACACACGCGCGCGCGCGTTAATGTTATTGGTATTAATATTGTAATTAGCATTAATGTTATTGGTATTAATATTGTAATGCTTGCGCGACCGATTTACGAGGTCACTCTCGCAGACACGCACACGCACTCCCGAATCACCGAAATAAAGACACGACAATTAAGAACAAGAACAAGAATGTTTATTGATGCCGAACAGAGAGAACAGAGAACATCGCGAAGATAAGGGGATCGAGAGACACGTCGGAGCACAGCGACAACGTCCAAATCTGCCGATCTTGTTAAATAACAGAGCTATGTGTCGCAACACGACTTTCAGGACTTCACGAGTGGCGATCTACGGTGTCGGCACAGCACAAGCGTAACCATTGCCCCCCTTCTCTTAAATTGTCATCCCGACAATTATGGTTTTTTCAAGAACGTTGGCCTCTCAAAGGAATTCGGAGTTCCCTCCTGACCAATTTCCCGCTCTCTACTGTGCTCCCTGCTGCTGCAAGTTTTTTTGAGCTTTGGTCTCCTTGAGGTTTGACTTTCCTCTCGAGGCTTATTTTTGAGGCCTTCTCTTCCGAGCAGGACCCCCCTTCAGTTTCTCCCCAGAGGATAGCTACTCCCCCGTGGACGAAACCTGCTCGGGCATCCCCCCATCTTCATGAAGGGAACCTCTTGCTTCTTCTTTTGAGGTCTTGTGCTCTTAGTTCTTCTCTTTTCGGAAAAGGGGGAGGGGACAAAAAAATGATATACCGTAGTACCTCTGCCCCCAATCCCCCCCTCGGTATTCGCCCTACGTCTCACGGAAAAACCACGGTTCAAAAACTGCGAGCGAGACGGTTTTCTTAAAAAAAAGACCTGTCGCTAAATGAGTTTCTCGCCGATATTGTTCCATCCGATGGACTCCTCCAGACACCGCTTCCTCAGCTGGGCTCTTCGCCGCTGTTGATATTGCAGCACGCCAGTAGTAGTACACTACTCTTCCTCTCGTCGAGTGACGAGCCCACGAACGTTGCAGTACCGCCAAAGTAAGTTCAAACTGATATTCGGCATTTCTGTAACTAAAAGGAAATCTCACCGTGCTTGCGGTGCAAAATAAATCCATATTAATAAGCTAAGTGACACTATAACGAGACTCTGCTTTATTGAATTGATATCTGTTTATTTAATCTATTCCACGGGCTTCTCAAGATACAGTGCCAACCTGTCTGTATGTACAATTTTATTTTTATACTTGTTCAACTTGCGAATGCAGTAAACAACATCCCTCTAAGCTTCCTTTCCACACAATAAGGACTTTCCCAGCTACTCTGCAATTTAGGAGCTTTCCCTCTCACCCTTCGAGGATTGTATAACCAAATCTTTTGACCCATTTCAAAATGAATCTGCCTGGCCTTTTGGTCATACCAGGTCTTAGTTCGAGAAGACTTAATATCCTCGTTTCTTAACTTGATCGTGAACTTTTTCTAACTTTTTCTTTATTTTATTTAAATAATCGTTCGTTGAATTCTCTGCTTCATACTTAAGGAGATTTCCTCGAAGTAGATCTAGAGGAAGCCTAAGATCTTGAGCGAAATACAACTCCGCCGGAGTTACACCAACAGATACATCGAAATCCAACGATCCCAATCTTTTTGATTTTTATCAATGAACTTTGTAAATAGTTTAGAATCGTCTGATGTTGGCGTTACACTTAACTGGGAATGCAGAGCGGATGTTCTCGTCTTCTTAATTTCGAGCAATTGCGATAATTTCCGAAAAATCCTAGATTCGAAATTTCTCCCTTGATCCGTAAAATGTGATTGGATAATTTTCTATGCGGCTATGTAAGTTTGTGTGTGGATATACCCTTACAGTTCAAATACTTAATACGTAAATGAAAAGATGTACGACATTAACTGCCATATGTAAGCATATAAAATTTTTTTATTTTTCTCGAATAAGACCTCAGTGACCTTAGCTTTTTCATATGAAAGATGTAAAGCAGAGTTCATATTGGATATCACTCACTGCTTGTGTTCAGTGTGCAATAGGCATGACATAATGTATGCGCCAATACGTTTTTAACGGGATCTACAAAAGATGTAATAAATCTTAAGGGGAGAAATACATGTAAAATCTTAAAAAAATCGAAATTTTTTTTTTACATATTTCAAAAGTATCATCCCGTAAAAGTATTCTGGCGAAGTATCAAGTCGAAATATGACATATTTACGGAGAAAATTCGCGTCGAGTGAAAGTGACGATGTACTGAGTGCAAGTGCAAAAAAACTGCATACTGCAAGTAGTGACGATGTTCGTTCGAGTCACACGTACAAAATAATTGAATTTGTGACTGTTTTTACTGCTTTGTCGCAAATTTTAATTTGTTATAAGTGCAAGCAAAGCGTACATTTTGAAGAGTCAGGACAAAGAGGACTAGGATTTAAAATTGTCGTTTCGTGTCGCTGCGGTCATACAGAAATAAATTCAGGACCTTTTATTCATAACGGCTTCGAAATAAATCGAAGAATTGTATTTATCATGAGACTTTTGGGCATTGCAAGAGAGGGAATAAATGTATTCTGTAATCTCATGGACATGTGTACTGGGCTCAGTCAAAGCAGTTACACGAAAATCGTAGAACATATTCATGAAGCTGCCAAGTCTTCGTTCAAGGTTTTATCTCAAAAAGCTGTTCAAGAAGAAATAGCAAAAAACATCGAACATGGAAGACCTGAAAAACATATCAAAGTCTCGACGGTTCATGACGGTTCAAAAAACGCGGGTTCAAGTCACTGTATGGCGTCACAACGCTGATCGGTTACTCCACCGGCAAAGTAATTGATTTTGTCGTTAAAAGCAGTTATTGCCATGCTTGTACGTCCTGGAAAAAGAAAATGCATACTGTACAATATCAGACATGATTACAAGATCACGAAGAAGAGTGTACGAAAAATCACAATGGCTCGGCGGGAAAGATGGAAGTCGATTCAGTGAAAGAGATGTTTTCCAGATCGGAAGAGAACTTCGGCGTCAAGTACAGCAATTACATTGGTGATGGGGACTCTGCAACTTTCAAGGCCATTCTAGATTTCCTCTTACCAATATACGAGAATTTATCTAGAGAAGATCTTCTAGAAAGGTGCTTGGGTGGTCACACTCAGAACGCCAACGAAAGCTTTAACTCCACCATCTGGCGATTGACCCCCAAACACTTACATTCTGGCCAAAAAATAATCGAGTTATTAGCCTGCATTGCAGCCGGAGTATTCAACGAAGGCTACAATTCAATATTGAGGCTGATGAACCAACTGGACATCGTTGTCGGAAATCAAGCTCTCAATTTTGCTAAAAATACGGACGAAGCTCGCGTTACACGACAGAACAGGATGAGCCAAAGCGAGACAAAAGCTGCCCGTACTGCCAGGAAACAGCAACAACTGGAAGATAATCAGCTTTTCGAGGAAGCTGAAGAGCTATTGTATGCACCTGGAATCGCTGATTGATCGGTAAGTCGCAAAAACCAATAGTTTTATCGTCCTGAAACTTTAAACGCGATTTTCTCGAAACTACGTTTTCAAAAACGGCTGCTACTGTACCTCAAAAAATTATTAATCGATCGGGCTGAAATTTTGAGGGGTTTTAGTCAACATAATTACCCACAGAGTGAACCTAAAATAATTACACATTTTGCATAAATAAACAATTTTAAGCGGGCAATAACTGTCGAAAAAATAGGCGAAAATACGAATTTGTTATTAAAAAGCGTACCAAATTTTTGATTTCGTACTTTTTCTCAATTTTATAGGTTTACTCTATGCCTAAACTCATCAGTAATCGAAATATGTTTTGTTTTTTGATTTCAGACCAATAGAAAAAGCTGGGCGATGGCAGCCGTTTTACGTCTTTCGCAAAAACGGCCTTCGTGGAGGGACTGTACCGCCGCTATTTTGTATCAAAAAACAAAAAAAAATTTTTTTAATTACCTGACACATGTCATTAAATTATGCCAAAAGTGCAAAATGATTTAATTATTTTATCACCCTCAAAATAATTCACGAAAAATGACTGATTTTCGAGCATTTACATGTATTTCTCCCCTTAAGTCTTAAGGAATTGATCAATTTTTTAAGGCTTAAGGCTTACTACACTTATTGTAAATTCCGTCGCACAATAGACACGGAAATGCTTGTAAATTAGCGCGATATTATTGGAGAATCTCAGAGGGAGAGAATGGCAAATTGGTCACTTGAGTAGAGTTTCAATGACCGCGTCCAATCAGGACGGGGGTCACGTGACCAGTTTTTTTCAATTTCTTCCATGACGACGGAGTTTCGATGACCGCGCCAATCAGAGTAATTTGCCACTCTCTTCCTCAAAGGCTCTTTAGATATAGCCAATCAATTTATAGCTTTTCAATGACTCCGAAAAGCTAAAGGATGATTGTCTACTGCATCAATTTCCACTGCGTGGCAAGTGTTCTGTGTGTGAGATCTCGGGAAAAAAATTCATATATAATTATACATAATTATATAAGATTATACAAAATTAGATAAAATTACATATTATTATATATAATTATGAGTATATTTTATATAT